GTATAAGAGACAGCCCATATTCACACCCGAATCTGGATCTCACCAAAATTTAATAATGGCTTGTAACTTGGTTAATACTTCCCGAAAGTTTCATACAGATCAGTTGATCAGTTTTTTGAGATTTTTAGTGTGGAGTATTTCTTTAAATGGTCCTCACTATTCCGAATCATAACCAAAATAGAAAGCAACCTTCCTTTCAATATCAGAAAAGTGATTTGTGAAAATTTGACGCATGTAGACATAAAACTGTAGGCAGGAGGTTGCTAATAAAACATACAAACACAAACAAACAAACACACACACACACAAATGGAATAAAAATATAACCTCTTTGCGAAATGTAATGTTGTTTCTTTGGCGTCCTTAATCACCTCATCATCTATATTTAGTATTCAGTGGCGGGTCTAGGAATTCGAAATAAAGGGGCCCCGGAGGGACTTACACGACGGAGAGTCTGAAGCACCTCATGGTTGGGGCTGATTTCAGAAAATGTATGATTATGGCACAAATGAAGCCGCCCCCCCCCCCACCCCCTTGAATACGCCACTGCCTTTATCACGGTGGTTGGTTGGAAAGGCATCGACATGGTAGATGCCGCGGGCCCTGGTTCGAGTAAAACGAAGACCAGGTCGTTACTGTTTTGTAATGTTGTTTTCATGTGATGCAAATTACATAATTAGGTGTTTTACCAGCTTCATGCTGAAATAGTTGGCCCATGCATGTGGTACGTAATAGGCCTAATGAAGAAGAATGAGTAGGCAATGTGATATGGTAGGCCTACTGTTGAACTTGGGACAAATGGTGGCGGTATATATGCCTTTGGATTTAACTTAATGCGTGAATATTTAAAGCGTGATTAATAGAATCCCATCGTCAGCATTTCTATTGTCCTTTTCCTTTTGTTGATTTTTGTTTTGTCCCACGGACCAACGAACACATTCACAGGCTGGCTAGTTATCCGATACATAATGGAAGACAGTTTTCGAAGGGGGAATATTGGGTAACTTTTTGCAGATTTGACAACGTCTGTGGGTATTTAGCAGTTAATAGCAGACAAGGTAAAGGTTTTACACATTATCTTGTATTTAATCTAATAATGTCATCGCTTGCTCCACTAAACAATCGATTAGCAAGTTAGGCCAGAATAAATCTATGGGACGTTTGTGTCAAAAGTGGCGTGTAGTGTTAAGTGATTTGTAATTAATAATCGTAGGCCTATCCGTCGTTAAAATACAATCACATGTATAGCAAGGCAGAACCTGACACAGTTACTAAATTAATATTAGTAGGAACATCTTCATCTTAACCACACGTAGAATTCATCAGTGATTTTTTTTTCAGACGAAAACCGCAGGGGCTGGACTGAAGCTTGTTAGAAATTTTAAAATGGTGCTTTCTGGCTTTTAATAGGCCTAATTCATAATAAGTAAAGGTAGATGGGCCCATCTTTTAATAATGCCTCATGAACAGTATAAACCGATGAAACCTGCCCCGAAACGAACTATTCAATATC